TAGATAGTATGTAGTAGTTTTTAATTTATTATTATTATTACTTTATTGTCTTGATTATACTTAATTACTAAATTATGAATATAAAGAAATAAATTTATGGTATCTAGTAATAATTGGAAAAATGATTTCGTAATCTAAATCGTAGTATTCATTTCTATAATTTATTCTTGAACATTCATTTTTCTTACAACATTAGAAATTTCTGCATGAAATATTAAATAAGCACCCTTAAATGTAAATACCGCAATATTTTTTTGGCAAATTATTTTTAAAAATTGAAATGCATTTAAAATGTAATTTTAATTTGAAAAGAAACTGTAACATTTATAAAATATTTGGAATAAATGTTATTTACAGGCGTTTAAAACATACTGGCGCCCGACGACGGAACTAAGAAGGAAATATGCAAATAATTTTATTTTTATAATTAAAGAAAAGTAAGACTAATATACGTAATAAAATGCAATCATACAATTGAAAATATAAAATAAATAACATTAAATCTAAATGTTATCGAAAGCTTAGTCGTTTTGAAATGTTGGTGTCATAATCAAATATTTCAAAATTTTGATTTAAAAATAACACTTTCAGTTAATTTTCTTATGAAATTTTATAAAATTAAATTCCTTTCTTTAAAAAAACAAAAATTTTTTTATTTTCAAATTCCCATTAACATTATGATTAACATTAAACTAGATTAAACTATAATAAAGTACGTGATATGCACACTGAAATATTCACTAAAGTAATTGTCTATTCTGGCAAAAAAACATATTTACACAGACACATAATATACAATATGTATGTATTTTTGTACAAAGATGAGGACAAGAAGTGTAATTAAAATAATCATTGTGCCATATCTAATATATTTCATTTATAAGAATCAATGACAATATTGTTAACATATAACACAATATTAAAACTTTTAAAAGTCTTTATCAAAGGTCTAACTTGTAAAACAATGGTATAAATAAATATATGAAAAGAGCGTTAGTTATTGCCTTTAAAAAAAAAAAACTTTTTGTCATTGTGCATAATTTTTTTTTTTATTATTGTAAACTCTTTTATATACTCCACATATTATCCATTATCCACATATAAATTTATTTGTAATACAAAATATGTAATGTACATGTAACACCATTCATAATACCATCAAAATTAATTGTTATATACTTTTGATTTCGTGGAGAATATTGTGTTTATACTCAATTAGTGAGTATAACAATAGTTTTTAAGAACAATTTATGATGCAGTTTTCGCATTTTGTCAAAAATTTTTCAACCTGACATTAAAATTTTGACATTTCATATGACATTTCATTTTATATTATTTACTTAGCATAATCATTAAATTCTTGCATTCTCAAATCACTTATTTATTTTAAATTTCTTTAAGAGATCATAACCAACTGCACAAAAATTAATTAATTAATTTTAATAATTTATTTTAAATTTAAATATTATTTAGCATACTATTAACCCTTAACTGCTCCCGTAAGAAATGTTCTTTATGATGACTTTCATATATTTAAATGATTCTTAAAGACCAAAATAATTATTTGAAAGAAACCATTGTAAAAAATTGATTGTGAGAAAATAAATGAATTAGAAAGATATAAAAAAATGTGTGGTTGTCTGTAAGATATGGTATTGGAAATCAAAGGTTTAATGATAGACTTCTTAATATTATGCAACTTAATATTGTCATTTTAAATATTCTTATAATTTAGAAGACCTTTCTATATTTTATTGCAATGCATTGTAATTTTTTATACATTCTTTTGTTTTTGTCTTATTACAAAATTACAAAATTTTTAATAATATCTTATTGTATTAATAGAATAATTATTATTATTTTTTTTAATTGTATATATAATTTTTCTATATATATATATATGAATGAATATATGTGAAATATGAAGAAAAGAATTGAAAATCACACGCAAAATACTTGGCTTTTAAAAAATATAACATAAAAATTAATTATTAACATGCCAATTCTTTCTATATAAATAATTTTGTTCATTTTACATACTACATTACTATACGGGATGGCACCTAAATGCTATCAACTTTAAAACAAAGTTACAAATTAATGATAATTGCAATTGCATATATTTATAATATTCTCATATATATATATGCACTTATATATAGACACATTTGTATTATACAATATTATGTATAATAGGTGATGGTCGCGAAATTTTTTACATATATTTATTAATAAAAAGTTTTTGACCGCGACTTTAATTTTATATATTTGCATATTGTACAACATGCAACAAATAAGAAGTAAAATATGTTTAAATTTATGTAATAGTCGTATGTGTAACATATTGTTTTATATATTCTTCCATTTCAAACGCGAAATATATATGTGAAATATTTAAATAATGTTATTGTGTTTTAAATTTATTTCATATTAGCGAAATTAACAAGTTTTTTATCTATTGGTAAAATAATTTAGTACAATAAATTGAAAATTTCATAAAATCAAAAACGATAGAATATTTTTTTTATTAATAAATAAATTCGGTAATGAGTTTTAAAAAATACAATTAATTTTGAATTAGAATTTTAATAAATATTAGTAAAAATACACCTATACTTCGATACATCCCCTACTTGGAAATTGTTATTTGTAATTGCTGAATTCTATATCAATAGCAGTATTAGTGCAATTTTAAAATCTCAGACTAATAATCCAATTAAAACACATTTTATTTTAATATATTTAAAACAATCGCCCCTAATTTGAAATTGAATGTGGTAGCAGTGGATTGATTCGACGAATCAGTGGTATAACTGCAAAATTGAAGTATATTAAAGGATTGGTATATTTTAATATTGGAAATTTAGAAAATGAATAATTACATAATAAAAACATATATACATATTTATGTATGTATAAATATTTTTTATAAAAAATTACTTGCTATATTGTTAAATATTAATTTTAATAATAAATATTGTTCTTAAATATGTGTGGTATTGAAAGAATTATTAATAATTAATTTAATCATTTATTATTATAATTTTTGATGATTATTCTTACAAATATGTGTATGCATATGTATACGAGTACATATATTTCATATGTATATGATTATATAACATTTTATATAATGAAACTAGAAAAATTTTAAAATTTATTGATGAGATAATTATCATGTTTAAGAAACGAGTTTTCTTTCAATTAAAAATAATTAATAATAAAATAATTATTATTTTCAATTCTTAAATGTTAAAGATTATAAGATGATTGGACGTGATAGATATTCAAGTATATTATTTAATGGTTTACTGAATAGCTATATGTGAATATATAAATAAAAATCTTTTTTGTAACTTAAATATTTAAAAAAATATTAATAAAACATTAACCCTCTCAGTCCTAATGATTTTCATGAAATATTTCACTTGATTATTTAAGTTTTATATAAGTAGTAAGGGCAAAGGTGTACAGTTGTGTCTCAAAATTTGAAATAGTTTTCGTTATTTTAAATCTTTTATATATTAGAAAATCCTTAACTTGAAAATTTTAGTATCACGGCATTAATATACAATTCAGCTTATACATTAAATTTGCTGAATTGTGTATTAGTGCTTTATTTTTTTAATTTTGAAACCAGAAATTTTTTAAATACGAAAATATAGAAAAAAAATGATTAAAATTAAAATTGAAAATTTCTTTTATGCACTTGTTACTTATTTACAACGAACTCATTGGGTGACTGTCTCGAGTGTTAACAACAGTATATACGCTGATTACAAATATTCTCAGTACAGAATAAAAACTTTAATAATAGGGTAGCAGGTCCCCAAACGTGTTTATTTGTTCAGAAATAATGTGTAAAGGAGTATGAAAATATTATTGCAAAAAATTCAAAATTCTTACATCCTATAATGTAATCAAATCAAATTTGTTATCCAATATTTCTGACTTGTATTCTCTTAATGGAAACTAAATGATAAACTGAATACCAAGTTAAATTTAAACATCAAAAACGTGACTTAAAAAATCTTATAATCATATTTTCAATTTGGCGCATTTTAAATAGTTATAAATTTTTCATTATTAATGCAATGAGAAAATAATGAAGAAATTTATATATTTAAACTCTAAACACTTGTGTGTATATTTAAACACGATTTAATTTCGTTGTGTATAACGTTATTCAATTTGTTAAAAAAAAAATCTAACGTAAGCCTAAAGTCTAAAGTGAAGCAAAACAAAATTTTTGAGAAAAGAATAAATCAAATTGTGATTAATTTTAAATTTAGGTATTCAAACCCACAGTATAGAATCTATCTATTCTAAGAATTTCAGCACTAGGGGTTTTGTTAATCTATTCAAATCAAAATCTTAAAATTATTATTGAAAATAACTCGAACTTTTATAATTAGAAAATATAGCAAATTTTCATAAAAGATTTATTTTTAAAATTTCATTAGTATGATTAGTGTTCTTGCATATTTAATTTAATCAGATTTTTTTAATAAAAATTTTAACTGATATTGAAATTTAAATAACATTTTATAACTCGTACTACTGTACTAATACTTTATAATTGCAATTCAGCAATATAATAATTTGATGATTGCTAAATTGTGTATATAAAAATTTTATTACTCCAATTTTTGAGTATACATATGTTACTTAAAATCGTCAGTTATTGCAGTTTCAAGTTAAAAAATAAATTTAAATTGCTAGAATATTAAAACTGACTGATTTCAAAAATTGCATAGCACATAATTCAGCTTTTTAGTTATAATTGCTGAATTGCGGTGCATTAATTCACATTAATGAAATTTTAAGGATACTGGATATATTCAAAATTTTATATTCTTCGCAATTAAACTCTTCTTAGTATATTAAATTGGATAAATAATTTTTGATTTCAAATTAAGGGTACACTAGTGCAAAAATTTATTGTTTATATTTAATAAAATTTTCAATAAAAAATAAATAAATTCTTTTTTATTACTTACATTATTTTCTTTCTATATTAAAATTAATTTTTTATTCCAATTTGAGTAAAATACAAACAAAAAAATATTGATTTTTAATGTTATCCTTTAAAAAAATTCCTTATTTTTTATTTTTTAATTTTATTAATTTTTTTGAATATCTTTTTTTAATTATTTTAAAATCTCAATCACAATTCCGGAAATATTCGAACTTTTTTTTTAATACTCATAAAATTTAATTATAATTCTTTAAATTTTTATTTATATTAATTTTCTTTATTATTATTCTTTTATTTAATTTTTAAATTATTTTTGAAAAAAAAATAATAAAACTTAAACTAAATAACAATATTTTATTTTAAAAAATTTTTTTTTTTTTATACGTCCGATCAAATCCGGTACTCGAAATCAACTGATCCTAGAAAGATTTTAAATGAAACTTTTAATATTTTTTTTTTCTTACTTAGCATCAAAACAACCAAAGTTACATAGCAAACCAAAGTAGTAAAGCAAAAAGGCATCGTAAATATAACATTAATGTGCGCGCGTGTGTATGTGTGTTATACGTTAGGTATGTGTAAATCGCGTTTTTGATTTTATTTGCGCTTATAATTCTTATTTATTAATTTTTTTTTTGTGTTTTCTTTGATTTTTTTTTGTATTTGTTTGCTTTTTTTGTTGGGTTTTTGTCTGCTGTTATGCCTTACAGAAACCTAGGTACAAAATAAAATTCTGGTTTTTTTGTTTGTGTATTTTTTTTATACTGTGATTTTTTTTTAAAGAAACTGAAAATTCATTTAATTTTTTTCCTCTGTGTAATAGAATTTCTGTATAGGTTGGAAGGTTTGTGCATGAGTGTTGAAACTTTCAATAGTAATAATAGAATTTTTTTTCTATAATTCTTTTTTTTTTTACTTCTTATTAAGAATAGAATGAAAATTTTTTTTGCAAAATTGTAAATTTTTTTTTAAGGTAAGTATAAGATATTTTAGGTTTTTTACAACTTGTCGTACCTATGTATTTAAGTCTACCCACACACTAAATGCCGTAATTTCAAAATAATATAATTTTTTGGGTTTGGATCTGTGGTAATCAAGAAAAATTGCTTAAAGCGATAATTATTATTGCTTTAATTGAAATTCGTCCAGAAGAATTAAAACTTTTAATGATAATTCACGTCATAGAAGATTTTCCCTGAAAAACGGATTATAGTTGTTAGAGGTAATTATCAGTGGAATTATCTTGCATATGTTGAAAATATTTATACATTTTGAGTAGGAAAGCACTTTAGTTTAAATTTAGCTTATCCTATATGCTCCGTACTGCATGGTACAGTTTCTTATTTTATCATGACTTACTCAGGGGATATCATAATTTCCTCTATAGAAAACTATATAACCCTATCCTTTATAAGTTGTGAAGGCTCAACATTTATATGCTGCTCCGTACTGTATGGTACAGTTTCTTATTTTATCATGACTTACTCAGGAGATATCATAATTTCCTCGAATTTTATAATTGCAAGGGGATTTACTTAATATGCGTGCGCTTTGGTAACAACCCCATAAGTGAATACATTTTTGGACATATTTTTTACTATTCTAACTAAAAAGTTGCATTTGTAGAGTTTTAGATAAATTTACTATTTCCACTTTGCGACATAATTTTTTTTTTCGGTTGAGTAACATCCTATTGTCAGTTTTTATTAACAATTGAAAATTTAATCAGATTTTCGAATTTAGTGTTTGTTTACCTAAAAATAAAATTCAGTAAAGTGTTTTCGACAAACGCCTTTTTTTATGTTTATTAGAATTGTCCAGTTTACGTGAGAAAAGCGCACTTAGCAAAATTGGAATCAAAAATTTTGTGTTAAATCAACTTAATCAGTTTTGCCTTAATTCCATAGACATAATACAACACACGAATTGAGCATAAAATGATTATTTTGTGGTGTGTCTATGAGGAAAATCAAGTTTATCAATCAAGATTTAAAATTTTTTTTTTTATTCTTAAATATCTGTTATTATTATAATTGTGTTCTTGTTTTTTTTACGTAGAAGACATTTTTAAGTACGTATGTATATACAAAACATATACCCCACCTTATGTATACCCATAATACTTACATAGTTTTGAATAAACCCGTAGAACAATTTTTTTTCCAAATATTAATCGTCATGCAAGCCACCCGTTTCCATCATTCATAATATTAATTTTTTTGCTAGCTAGTTGCCAATATTTGTTGAAAAATACTAGACTCTAGTCAATAAACTATCTATCAATCTCTTGAATATTGAATATTGGTTCAATACAAAAATCTACTGTTTTTGTATGTAGAAACATTCTGTAGGACTCCATATATTCCATATTTTATATCTTTAAAATTCATTATGTCAAAGAGCCTAATATAATTTAACTGGACTTCTGAAACATATGTGTTTATTAATTGAAAAAATTGTTTAAAATTTTACAGATCAATTATTAGCAGATTAGAACAGTTCGTGTACGGAAGTTCACGTCTCTTTTTGATAATATTAATTGCCATAGCCTTAGCAACACTATACTTACAAAAAAAACTTTATTTAAAATAGAAGGATTCATATAGAACTTACGAATTAAAGCACATTTTGTTAATCGGGTAAAAAAATTTTATTAGCTTCACTAGAATATTCGCTGATCCGAAAATTTCTGGTAAAAACTACAAAATTTGATCAAAAACAATAAATCCATTAAAAAAAAAAGAACCATAAAAAACAAGAAAAAATTCTAAAAATCGCGGGAAATTACTATTCATAAAAAAATACACAGTTAAAAGATATTTTTTTTTATTATATTCTTGTTGTTTTTACCAAAGACGTTTAATACGCGTGTAATTCAATGGTACAAATATTTTTTTTGTTATTGCTTTTCATACTTTCTGTTATACGTATAAAAGCTATCCATGACTTCAATATAATTTTTTTTTTATTATTAGATAAAAATGCATTCATATTTTTTTTTTGTGGAATGACGTCACAGCATAATCGCATAATATTTTACGTACACATATTAGAAAAATATTTTGAATAAATAAAATTTCGCGGGTTGGAACAGAAAGCGTTGATACGAAGCGATGAAGAAAAAAAAACAATATATTGCTTTTGACGTCAAAATCTTTGAATAACAATCAATATTTTATTTTTTTTTAAAATGGCCTTCTTTGGTAATGATGTTGATAAGCAGGTGGTATAATGGTAGATATTTAAAAAAATAGTAGGTAGAAAGGTAAGTATTGGTATTTACATCTTAGTATATAGAATGTGCGTCAAATTTTTGTTTTTATAAGAAAAAATTAAAATTAATTTGTAATAATTTGTTTTTAAAATACGATAAAATTTTTATTATATTTGGAAAATAATAATTTATTTCGCAATATACTGTTATTATCAACTCTGCTTAAGTATAACAGATTACTGTTCATATATGATTCATTCACAAAAAGTAGTGTTTTTAATTGTTATTTTAGTAGAGTGGTAATTCCCTGAAGTACTAGAGTATAGGTATTTAAGTGTGTGTTAAGGTATTTTGTATATATGTATGTATGTAGGTATACAAAAGATCAATAAACTTGAAATAAAATTTTTTTTTTTTTTGTATTGGACGAGGCATTGTTGTTATTTTTTTTTAAAGAATTTAAATTATTGAGAAACAGATATGAAACAGATTTTAATTATAGTCAAATAAAGCTGTATACGAAAACGGGGACTATATGGATTTAAGTATAAAAATATTGAAACAGTTTAATTTTTGTTTTTGATAAAATTCAGAGTAAAAAAGTTGTTTTATAACAATATTAAAATTCAAAATAAAAATTATTTATAAAAATTTAATAAAAATTTAAAATATTTTTTAATTTTATATGAATTTTATAATTTTCTGAAATATTCGTACACTAGACGGCTTCAAAGTTTCTTAAAGTCGATCTTATAATATGGACACAATATTATTGTAAGTCAATTAAATGCTACTACAAATGCAATTATTCTATGCGCGTCATCGATTTTGCTAACGCTTGCAACGCATGATATAGGACGCGTTGAGATATTCTAAATAACAAATGTCATATATGAAGGTGAGTGTCTTCTATAGCATATCAAATCTTAAAATAATCAGAACATACAAGACAAAGAAAAACTATCTGTCATCACTTAATCATTTGAATTAACTTTAATTTTTATATTTTAGCACAAAAATTTCAAGGTTATCGTAATTTTTGAACGTACGTAAATTTGTTATTTATGAATTTCTGTCTGTAGGCTAATTAATTGTTGATATAAAGGATTACACTGTTGAAATGAACTTTGAATTTTTAAGGTAAAAGTTTTTATTTTTTAGAATATTTTAATTTTATAATCTTAACCCTTTTGTATATTACTTGCATATTATAAATTGGTATAATTATAAAAATCATCATTAGTTATATATTAAATATTTTGGGGTTTTTTTGTTATACAATTAATACGTGTTTGCTAAAAACAACATACTCATACGTATAACAAAAATAATTATTTGTCATCTTAAACGAGTTTTATTCATGCGCTTATTTATAAATGTAAAATATATAACGTATATATCTAATACTATAAATAAAATTTTGTAAAATTTTTTTAATGAAACTTTTTTCAAAAGAAACTAATTAAAAATTGAAGAGATGAAAAAATAAATTGGAAGTTGATTTAAATTGAAAATAAATTAAAAATTTGCAATTTGCAATCTTTGTTGATTTTCTTCCCAGAAATTGGGAAAAAAGGACAAGAACTGGTTGTCAAGATTCTCACTAAAACGATAAAGATATTTAAAATAGAATGCCACATGGTAAAAGACTTCTGCACACTACGGTCGAATAACAATTTTCGAATGTGCTGTTCCATATGTTGAATTGTAGCGTCTGCCGTTAATTGGTTTCGGGAATTGATTAAAATTTACCAGAAGAGGTAATTGCTGTGACATATGATTGTGCATTTAAAACTATTTTCGTTCATATTTAATTTGTTGTCTCCTCCACAGTTGAAAATGGACATTATAATGGTCATGTACTCTAATTGAGTGTAAAATTCAATGTTAATTGAGTGTAAAATGTTAATATGCTAAAACATTAAGTTTATTGGAAGTAGGGTAAATTTTCAATTTACAATATCAAATGGCTTCCGAAATATTTATGTAAATTGATACCGCGGGGTTTTTCTTAACAATTTCCCATAGTTTAACAGTTTTATGGTGATCGGATTAATAGTGTAAGAGTGCATAAAAAACATACAGGAAGACAAAAACATATACATTCATTTTTATTCAATATGTCTATAGAACAGAAGATTAAAATCATATTGTTGCGTTTGATTGTAAGTGATCACATA